GGTCATCCTATTTAGATTAAGGATGTATCCAAATCCCTATTTGTCTGTATACTTCAAAATACACACAAATAAAAGTAGGTTGAGGAAAGACATTCTGAAGTCACCGCGCGTATTGTCACACTGAGATACTAGTTTTTATGACCTTGGCTTCCAAGTTGACCAAAATCTAGAATCAATAAAAAGAAATAACTTAGGAAGTAAAGGTGGCAATACAATAAAGTGACTGAACCTTTTGTCTCATAGCCTAAAGGTTGCTGATTGAGTTTCAGACTCTCATTCAGTTTGTGAAAAACTAGCCACGCTGTAGAGAGAAAGCAAAAAATAGGAACAAAGAAACAGATCAATGAAGTTGATTCTCTCACCCTTTTAATACCCAAAGCGTCTGAACTGATCTAAAAGCATGGAGCTAGCACTATATACTCATTACATTCATCTCATGGTGTGATAAGGTGTCCTTAGCTTTCATTTTTTTCTTTCTCTTCTTCTTCCTCTTCTTCTTCTTCTTGATCATCATGATCATCATTTCATCATCATCTTCTTTTTCTTCTTCTTCTTAGCGTTCACAGGCTGGAAATTTAGGCGGAAAGTTTCTGGTTGTTTACCCATTTGATTTTTATCCGGAAATTGAGTTTTGCATGCACATAAAATTTAAAAGTCCGGTTTTTTTGTATGCAGACTGTTGGTTCCTTGCCTCTCAAGCAGCTGCAATCAGACTTTGAAGGAAACACCCCTAATTGGCTGCCTTAAAAAAATTGTGATATTTCCATAATGAAGTACAACTGCAATTTATCCACAACTAACTATATGAATATTTTACGGTGAGGCTCCCAACTGAGGTACCACTGTCTGAAAGCCAAGAGAATGATCTTTTTCTAATCTGTCAACCATGGGAGTCAAACTCCAGCAAATTTGAAACTTGTTCACTATCCTCTAGGCCACAAAGCCACACCATATTGTAAAAAAAAAAAAAACATATAATGCACAATAAAGTTCAAAGGTCACTGATCACCTGAAATTTTCTGCGGGCCACAAAATACTTGATTTTTCTGATAACCCTGATAGCAGTTTTATGGGCTTCAGTTAACCTGGAATTATAAAGAAAAAATACCCTGATAAGTTTGATTTCTTGAGCAAACAAGATTGTGATTCATTTATGATGTCACAAAACAGACTTTTGTTTGTCTTGCTCTCTTCCATTGTCAGATGTCAAAATAAACATTTAAACAAATGTCAGTTTTATGGAGCAGCAACTAAACTTTGTCTTCTATTATTGTTTGTGGTAGTTTTACTCTACTTTCTGTGTTTCATTTTGCTTTGTTTTTTCACTTCTATACTTCGCTGTAATAAAAATTAACTTGAAAAATCATTGAATTATTATTTTGTTTTATTACTCTCTTTATGTGCATCAGGGATATGATGTTTCCATGGTTGACTCATATTTTTACTGAGCAATCGACAATTTGTGGAGGAAGTGGTCAGCATCAAGCCAGCCACATTTATTTCCCAGGACATTACCTAGTACCTATTTTAGGCTGGGCTGACATGATGGTCTTGACCTTAGAATAATGTAGTTACTGAAGTATGTAATTTGTTACTGTGGTATATAGTCTAGGGAAATTAGATATAGAGGATCACTATTTATGAGCGTGTTATAAGAAGAAATATGCTCAAGAACTTGGTGACATCTGGCAAGATTGATGAGAAAAGAGCTAGAAAGACAAAGTAATCAATACTTCGATGGCTCAGTTACAAAAGTGGGTCAGGACAGGAGCACTGATCTGATTTTGAGGTTGTGGGGATCAAGTGAGATGGCGAACCAGGATTGTGTAAGCAGGGAATAGGACTTTAACCTTGTATCTATTTCAGGCTGGGTTGACCTGGGAACTGAGGTCAGTTGGTGAAAAAAAATTTGATTTGGGGTCAAACCTAAGACCTTCAGTTTAGCAGGTGAGCTCTAGCCACTATGCTCCCACATGGGCTATAGACAGAAGGCAACATAATCACATTGCTACATTAGCCTGTTTGTATACAGTCTAATCTAGGTTTAGAGTTTAGGTTTTAGAGTTAAACTGCAAAAAAAACAGAAACTTAAGTAAGTTAACAGATACAACTATTTAAGAACTGTTATAAACATCTGATGCCTTACAGAAATTAGATCAAGAATCACCATGGCAAAGATGACCTTTAGCAAGATACACAAGATTCTCATCAATAAGAAAATGCCACATGCAGTGATAAAAAGAGTGTTGAAGTGTTATGTAGCACCCCTGTTGTTCTATGCATGCGAAACATGGACAATAATCAGACAAGCTGAAAAACATTTCCTCACTGCAGAGATGTGGTTTCTGAGAAGAACACAACGAATATCATGGAGGGATAGAAAAACAAATGAAGCAGTTCTCTTCAAGACAAATTAAAGTTGTAAATTTATTAGAACAATTAGACGTAGACAGGTGATATTTTCTGGACATATTATGTGAAAGAATGGACTTGAAAACTTGGTAATAACATGCACTAATAATTGAAAGAGAGCAAGAGGAAAGCAAAGAAATAAATACCTTAGGTAAAGATTCCTTTTCATGCCTTAGGAGCATCGGGCAAATGGGAAAAGCACACATATTTTTTTACAGACCAAACAACGGCATTAGGTGGGTAATTTGTTCAGCATTACACAGGCTGTACCCATCCTGGTACCCATTTTAGGCTAGGTCGACCTGCGACGCCCCATACCATGATAAAAATCAAAGCAGCCAGCAGTAGGTTTCGATCGCGGTACATTGGAATTACGAGTTTGACTCGCAACGCTTAAGCCACGGAAGCCACAATGGCTGGATGGAAAGAAAGAGACAAAATCATTGAACTGGTGTGTGATTCTGGTGATCATGTGAGGTGGCCAAACATATCAACCTATGCTTACAGGCATGGCACATGATGATGAGGATGATACAGTATAATTACTGTACTCACTTCTGCACTTTCTCTGGCTCTTCTGCATCGTAATCTGTATCCTCATTTGTGTTGGTATCTCCAGCGCATACACTTGTCCTTTGGCTGTCCTTGCGGTTGAACTTTGGGGTCATACAGGCTTCATGTGAGTGAAAGGTCAGTTACATAATTTATTGACAGCAATTGTGAAACAAAATAACTGTATAAACTTTGCATGCTTTTGTATTTGTTGTGGTTTACCATGTGTTTCTCAGGTTTATTCATTGGTAAAGTATGACTGGGCTACTGTATTATAATAATAGTCGGTACTACCTGCTGTTTGAATGCAAACTTTTGCAAACCTGACTTGTGCCAATAGCTTCAGGCTGAGAAGCTTACTGGTAACGATACTAGCTTTATCCTCGGATGAGCAAATGCAACCTGAAAACCTAATGTTATTGTAGGGCAGACCATCTGGACAACCATAGGTATCAAAAGTTATAAGATAAACAAGGTGGTGATTTATTGGGCACTTCCTGCTGAGAAGCATACAGAGAATCACCAAAAAGACATGTAAATGGGAAATACATAGACTGAGTAAATGAAGATGTTAAAAAAAAACAAAAAAAAAAACAACAATCTCTAAGACAAATGATGTTGACATAGACCAAAGGTGATGGAATAATTCCATCCATGAAATTAAAACAAGAATCTCAGATAGACTTCATATTATTGTTCAGCATGGCCAAAGTATACAGGTATATATGATTTCTTTGTCTTCTTTATGAATGTGTAACTCATGTGTGTGTGTGTGTGTGCATGCATGTTCATGAACATATGTGTGTGTGTACTTGCATGTATGTATGCATGCATGCGTGGGTGTATGTGTGCATGTGTGTGGGTGAACATATGTGTGTGTGTCTGTGTGTGTGAACATATGTGTGTGTGTATATGAATGTATGTATATAGCTATGTATACATTTGTGAGTGTTTGTGTGATACGTATGTATTTATACTTGAATTTATGCACATTTGCCATTCGTGCTTTTATTAACGTTATTGATATTCACATTAGGTATATTATGAACATAAATGCTCTATAGGTTAAATACAATTGCAGTATGAAAAAAGTCTTTGGAAGGGTAAAATGTAATACATGCCTGCATTACAAATTTGTGACCTTTCAAAAGTAAATGTTGGTTCATTCTTTTCTTTTCTAGTTACTTTGTCAGTTGTTGTTAATTTTCAAGTTCATTTTTCCTCATACATGCTTAAACTATCTTCCAGTTAACTGAATGACTGATGTTTAACCCAACTAGGACATCACAGAGAGTGATAAACACCTGGTGACACAAAGTGCCACCACTCAGATGAGGATCACCCAGGGACATGCCCCAGAAACCCTGTTCAACCTGTTGGGTTCTAATTAGGGCAATTGGCCACAGCCGGGGTGTGGCTTCAAAATAACAAAAATATTGCCTGGCGCAAGGGTACAGTTATTTTATTTTCTTCCAATTTCTCTATTCTTTTTACAGTATTAGTTTTTCACGTTTATCAGTGGCATTCTCTTGGCTGACTGACTGACTTTCTATCCACCAGGACATCACACAAGTGATAAACACCCGATGACACAATGTGCCACCATGTGGGTGAGGATCACCATTGAGAGGTCCCAGAAACCGCGTTCAACCTTTAGGCCATATTTATGGCCAGGCTATATTGCGGCCCCTGGCAAAAGCCAGAGTAGGGCTTCAAATTATGAAAAATTTCATCCTGAAAAGGATGAGAAGTGGCATTCTCTTATCTCCCTTTGACAAGGAAACTCTGAGGGGCTTATATCTAGGATATGTTCGCTCTGTGATAGAGTACAACAACTCACTGCTTTTAACTTGCTCCAAAACTAACCTAGAGACTCTTGACAGAGTACAAAATAATGCCCTCCGATTAATCTGCGGAGCTATGCAGTCTACACCAACTGCTGCATGTGAAATCCATACAAATGTGGAACCCCTCGGGTTGCGGAGAGAAAAAGCCACTTCAGAAATTTATGAAAGATGCGTTAGGAAAAATCGTAACCATCCTAATAGACATCTTGTAGAAAACTGGGAATACAAACAAAGAATAAAGCACAAATCGGTTTTACACTGTGTTAATGAAATTCAGGACAGATACCACCTCCCAGAAAGACGTCAAGGAATTCAGAATGTTGCAAGAAACCTACCACCACATGCTCGCTTTAAAGCTCCAGAAGTCCGAACTAAATTGGTAGGCGAGGAAACCAAACAGTCCGACCCAATCGCTCTTATGAACTCATCACTAAAGACCGTTGATTCTTACCCCCAAGAATGGATACATGTCTATACTGATGGATCAGCATTTAAAGCTACCATTAAAGCAGGTTACGGAATCTACATAGGTTATCCCGATGGATCTGTTGAAGAGATTTTTGATGCATGCGGGGAATTCTGTTCAAACTATGAAGCTGAAATAATTGCACTGGAAACAGCAGTATACCACCTAAAGACTGTAATGGATGTTTACCCTTCAAAGGTCCAAAATATTGTCATCTTCACAGATTCAATGTCTGTCCTTCAAGCTCTGGAGGGCAGTGAACGCTGCAGAACTGATATAGCCAAGATAATCCTGGATGCTGATCAGCTTATTACCTCATACAACATCAGAATAGTGATGCAGTGGATTCCAGGTCACTCTGGCACACCAGGTAATGACAGAGCTGACAGATTGGCAAAGAAAGGAGCAACACAAGAACAACCACCTACAGCGACAACCCTCCAGAAAGCAAAAACACTGATAAGAGCTATAAACAAAGAGACTTGGTTGAACAGATGGGCCATGGGAGACAATGGAAGAGAGGTTTATAGACATATGTCTGGCCCTGATCCTAATGACAGCATTAACCATCTAACAAGAAGGGACCAGGCCACCATCTTCAGACTTAGAACGCAGCATACTCCACTCAATGGACACTTAAACAGAATACAGCCACAACATTCCCCAGAGTGCCAGCTATGTAACTACCCCTACGAAACTGTTGAACACCATCTCTTTGAGTGCCCAGAACTCAGTGAGACAAGAAGAACGCTACTCCCTCTGAGACCAGACAAGTGGAACACCTTGTACGGAGGAAAAGAACAGCTTGTGAAAACATGCAAATTCCACTACATGGCATTGGGCCAAAGGGCGAAAGCTCATGCGCCGCTGGATCGATAACAACAACTTATCTCCCTTTACAAATTATAGCAAATTACTCAAAATAAAAAATGGAAAACAATAGGTACAATACCTAGCTTTTCATCTGCATATGAAACAGATGATGACATGGATTCTTTGTAGAGATGGCTTGGAACCATGGTGGTGGAGTCAAGCCGAGAGAGACGCCGCTTTCGCAGGGATAACTGACTGGCTCTCCTAGCCATTTTAGCAAAAACGGTTTCTTCATTTGATGGATCATGACAATGGATTTTCCACGTGGCTTCAGACTTGGAATGTGGTTCTGATGCATGACATCGCCACAGGCACTGGGGGTGTACCAGAAAGATGAGTTTCACTTTAAAAATTATCACCATAATTTCTTGTATGAAACAAATATCCTTATAACCTTTATTGTGTAAATACTCCCATAACACAAGCAGTTATTATAGAAATGCCATAATATAAGCATAAATATGTAATGTAGACACTGAAATAGGGAATGGATCGAGGAAATTAGGACATTCAAGAAAAACCCTAAGATAAACAATGTTGAGCGAGGCCAGGGTGCCTCTATGATATTGAGAGGACTGCACAGTAGTGAACAGAATGGAAAAACTAGACTGCAAGTCCTATGTGGCATACAAGGATGATTATGACAAAACATGCAGTCTTGAGGAATAGTTCTAGAGATTGTTGGTACAAGAGTATCTTTGTACATTTTAATAAAGCTGCATGACAATAAAAGACACAAAAGCAAACACCACATAGACCTTGAGATGTGTACAATTATTTTTTGCAGCTCCCAGAACAGCTACAAAAAAAAGTTAGTTGTGTGTCCTTTGCAGAACCAAGCCCAGCATTTTATGTGTTTTTAATAGGCAAATAAATGGTGATCTTGCGTTAAGTAGTTTGACATTACTTTCTGAACAGTCAGCAATCAATACCACTGTTGAAACCAACACTGGGCGGTCTGCTACCAAGTCGCTTGCAGCTAGGATTCATACCTAGCACCTCAGAAATATTAAATGCATTCACAGTGCCTAAGCCAGTCACTGATTAAAAAAAAAAAAACATAGACAGATGAAAAATCAAAAGATAGGATGTCTGGGAGGCCAAGGCCTACTGTGTGTGAGATAGCAAAAGATAGGATGTCTGAGAGGACAAGGCCTACTTTGTGTGAGATAGCAAAAGATAGGATGTATGAGAGGACAAGGCCTACTTTGTGTGAGATAGCAAAAGATAGGATGTCTGGGAGGACTAGGCCTACTTTGTGTGAGACAGCAAAAGATAGGATGTCTGGGAGGACTAGGCCTACTTTGTGTGAGACAGCAAAAGATAGGATGTCTGGGATGACTAGGCCTACTTTGTGTGAGATAGCAAAAGATAGGATGTCTGGGAGGACAAGGCCTACTTTGTGTGAGATAGCAAAAGATAGGATGTCTGGGATGACTAGGCCTACTTTGTGTGAGATAGCAAAAGATAGGATGTCTGGGAGGACAAGGCCTACTTTGTGTGAGATAGCAAAAGATAGGATGTCTGGGAGGAAAAGGCCTACTTTGTGTGAGATAGCAAAAGATAGGATGTCTTGGATGACTAGGCCTACTTTGTGTGAGATAGCAAAAGATAGGATGTCTTGGATGACTAGGCCTACTTTGTGTGAGATAGCAAAAGATAGGATGTCTGGGAGGCCAAGGCCTACTTTGTGTGAGATAGCAAAAGATAGGATGTCTGAGAGGACAAGGCCTACTTTTTGTGTGATAGCAAAAGATAGGATGTATGGGAGGCCAAGGCCTACTGTGTGTGAGATAGCAAAAGATAGGATGTATGGGAGGACAAGGCCTACTTTGTGTGAGATAGCAAAAGATAGGATGTCTGAGAGGACAAGGCCTACTTTGTGTGAGATAGCAAAAGATAGGATGTATGGGAGGCCAAGGCCTTCTTTGTGTGAGATAGCAAAAGATAGGATGTCTGAGAGGACAAGGCCTACTTTTTGTGAGACAGCAAACGATAGGATGTCTGGGAGGACAAGGCCTACTTTGTGTGAGATAGCAAAAGATAGGATGTATGGGAGGCCAAGGCCTACTGTGTGTGAGATAGCAAAAGATAGGATGTATGGGAGGACAAGGCCTACTTTTTGTGAGACAGCAAACGATAGGATGTCTGGGAGGACAAGACCTACTTTGTGTGAGATAGCAAAAGATAGGATGTCTGAGAGGACTAGGCCTACTGTGTGTGAGATAGCAAAAGATAGGATGTCTGAGAGGACAAGGCCTACTTTGTGTGAGATAGCAAAAGATAGGATGTCTGTGAGGACAAGGCATACTTTGTGTGAGATAGCAAAAGATAAGATGTCTGAGAGGACAAGGCCTACTTTTTGTGTGATAGCAAAAGATAGGATGTTTTGGAGGGCAAGGCCTACTTTGTGTGCGATAGCAAAAGATAGGATGTCTGAGTGTGAGCTGATTGCAGGTTTATGCTCCATTAGAGGATAAAAAGTAGGGGGGAAAAAGAAGAAGAAGGAGGAGAATAATAAGAGGAACACAAAGAGCAAGAAGAAAAAGTAGAAGAAGATAAGTATCTGTCGCAAATACCTGAATAAGTGTCGCTGCAGCTGGAATTTGTCTATTGAAATGCTTTTGTCTTTGTTTTTGTTGAACTTTCAAAGCAAACCCAGAGCCCAGGATACCCTGAATATAAAACACAACATTTGATTCTGAAGGAAAAACTTCAAAATTGTATCAATCATCACATACATAAATATAAAAAACTTGGACTTCCAGCCAAAATGCTTGACAGCCGGCTGACTACCAATGCTTTCATAAGTTACTTGTTTCCAGCTTGGTTTTGTTGATTAAATTTTTTATTTCTGGACTGGGAGTACAAAGGTTCCATCACCCAGCTACTGAGCTGAATGCTAATGTGACACTGTGAGCTGTAGCTTTAATATGGTATGTTTTTTCTGTTGTGCCTGCTGTGTGTTGTTAAGTGTACTAAAATGGCAGGTGGCCAATTAGGTTAAGAATGGCATGTACTTTTGCAGGTGTAATTGACCATTTCCACCAAACAGTCAGCAGCATTTCTAGTGTGGCACCACTAGTTTTGACATATCTGACAGATGCATTATGCATGTTTACTTTGCATGTGCAAGCTTCAAGATTTTGTTGGACTAACAAGTTTTTCACAAGTCTTTAAATGCGACAGTGACGAACATTCTGCATGATTTCCACTAGCATTGTTGTGTGCTACTGACAGAACTCTTCAATTACATTACCGAGGATTCAAACTTTTTCCTACAAAATGAGAGCCCATCATTCTTAACTAGCCTTCTATACCTATCTAAATATCTACATGTCCACCCGTTTGTCTGTCAGCCCATCCCTTCTTTTAACTGTCTATCTATCAGTATGCTATGCAAACAGCTCGATCATTTTTTCGATCATCTTTGGACTTGAGAATTTAAGTTCAGTTTTCCACAACAAATCAACTACTACTAAGAGATAAAAAGAGGGACAGAGAGAGAGAGATACACAGAGAGAGAGAGAGAGAGAGAGAGAGAGAGAGAGAGAAAGAGAGAGAGAGAGACGGAAAGAGAGATGGAGAGTAAAGAAAAGAGAGATGGCAAGAGCAATGGAGAGAGAAAGAGACAGAGAGAGAGAGAAAAAAACAGAGAGAGTAAAAGAAAATTACTCCCAAGTGATGTTAACACCCCCCCCCCCCCTCCCCCTCACACACACATAACAGAAACAACAGTGGTATAACAGTAATTTCACAATAAAGTACTATAAACATAATTTTAGAAAACGAAAAAAAAAATCAGCTATCGGCACATCAGCATTCACAACTTACAGCTGGTAAGGCAAAGAAAGAAATGGCAAACACTGCAAAGCAGGAGGCAACAATCTTGCCCATCCAGGTCTGGGGCACTTTGTCTCCATAGCCAATCGTCATCACAGTTATCTGTTTAATAATTGGATATAAATTATCTGTTAACTGACTGGATGGAAGTTATCTGTTAAATAATTGGATAGAAATTATCTATTAACTGACTGGATAGAAGTTATCTGTTAAATAATTGGAAATTACTGATTTAAAAGCAATAGCTCGTAAATACTCTTACCTTACTCACAGTACCGACATGGAACGCAATTTATTGCTATTGTACAACCCCACCCTGGTTGTTGCATGAGACCCTACCTTATATAACTCAACCTATGGGTTGAACGGTTTTTTTTGGGGGGAACTTATCCCCAAGTGATCCTTATCCAAATGATGGTACTTTGTGTCACCAGGTGTTTATCGCTCAGTGCGATGTCCTGGTAGGGTTGAATGTCTGTCAATGCTGACACCGGACAAGGAAGACACTCTGAAGACCTTGTATGAATGAATGCTCATAGAAGACATGAGGTTAGGTGAAATAACAAATGTAACAATGTGAGGCCGAGGAATTAGGTTTAAGGTTTGAGGTTTGAACAACGGATCAACATCCTGGCACACAGGTAGTAACCCATAAGTGCTCCGTTCTTCTTCTAACTTAAGTCGGAGTCCGAAGAAGCTCAGCCCAGTGCACATGCTCTTTAGCACTGCCAAGGATCCTGAAATACTTTGGGTAGATTTTAACTCAAAACTTTTCCCGGGCTAGAGTTAGGCTACTCTTCGGTTTCCAACTGTTTAACGTTTTTTTTTAACGCTACAGTGCGCACGGGCGTCCGATCTCACTACCACAGACCGGGTGAATTACTAGAAGTCCAAGTCCACGTGAAGAAATCTTAGCCCTTACCAGGGATGGACCCCGGAACAATCCCCGAGGAATTAGGTGAGGATCAGCAAGGATGGACGCAAGAGAGGAAGATTACGTGTGTATAATCAGTGTGCTACGGGAACAGTTAGCGTATACGCTTTAAAACATTTGCTGTGGGAGAAACAGCATCTATGGGTATACCTGGTGTGCTTTGATGTTGATTCTTAATCAGTAACCAGTTAAACGAATGGACGAATGTAGTTACACCTTTAAACCGATGTTATCTTTGAAAGATTCGCTGGAAGTGATCTGTTAAATGATTGCATAGGAGTTATCTGTTAAATGAATGATCACATGTGGACAGAAGCTATTATTAGGCATATTTTATTCACTGCATCTGACATAGTCACTTTACGATGGTAACCATAATCTTTTTAGGTACGTTTCGGTGAGTGCCGGCACTTAAAAAAAAAAAAAAACTCTGGAGCCAGCACTGCTTTTTGTCAATACTATGATCTGATATCAAACTCAGGTAGCAAAACGAGGGAGAACAGCCAGTTTACAGCAACTACTTACCACACCCCACCAAAGGGCATCCGCATAGCTAGAGAAGTCCTTTCTCCCATCCTCTCTTTCAGCCAGGTAAACGAAATAAGAGGAAAATATCAATCCCAGAAATCCTATATACAGCGTCGTGATTAGCTCCTAGAGTATGGGAGAAGACAAAGAGAAATGTTATTACTTCTGGGCTTATCCGACTCTGAGTTGGTACTGCAGTAGGCTAAAAAAAAAAAAAAAAAGACATGTGGCATAAGCAGATAATATAAGCAGTGGCACACATCAACAATATAGGCACTAACATGGATATACTGTACAAGAAATGCAGAAGTGCGAGGAAATAAAAGAGCGGACTGTTTGGCTACCACAATGATAGCTGTTGAAACACTTGTGCTGGACAGAGACATTCCATTTATGAATGAATGATGATAAAAGACATAAGGTTAGATGAAATAAAAACGTATGTAAGAATATGCCAACTTGGTTTTAGGAATGGGGCCGGCAAGTAGGTACATATAAAAGGAAGATAACAACGACTGTATAAGCAGTGTTCTATTTAAACAGAACCTACACCTATGAGTATACCCAATGTGCCATGATGTCTATTTTCAAACTCTGGCTTATCAGAGACGGCAATATCAGCTGGGCTCCCAGAGTGGCCGAGCCTAAAATTTGTGCTATGAAATGTAATGTGAAACAAAACTGGCCACAGTGTTTTAATTACATCATCCACCGAGTGGCCATTTCTTCTGGTCTGTATCCCCCACTGAAGCATAGCCCTCAACCAGCTCAGGCCACTGAGCTATCTTTTCCTATTGCATACAGCTCACTCATCTGGTCAACTTCACTTTCTAGTTCCCCCTTCTCCACATCCTTTTTAGAAAGGTCTTTCTTTATGCCCCTGTTGGTTTCAGTGTAAAGCTCTTTTAATTATATTATTTTCAGTTTTCTCAACGTACATCATATCCATCTGTGACTATTCTGACTTTCCGTTCAGCTTTCAAGACCCGTTAATGGTTGCTTATGGTTCACAATCATGACAATGGTTTACTGGGACTCTACTTCCAGCATGTACAATCTCCAGTCTAGGACAAAGCGCTAGCACAGGGGGAGATCTTTGTCAGTCTTCCTATGATCGATCGATTGATCAGGTTTCTCTCTCCTGGCTGCTGCCTAATGGTAATAATACCGTCATGAGATTTTAAAAATCTCAGTCTAGACGGCATACAAACAAAGCAGAACCCAGATACTCCATTGATCTCTAAACAAGTGTTAATATTGCACCCGTAAACAGGACCGTCTTAACGCATCGCCCCCTCCCCACCCCCACGGGCACTTGCCCGAGGGCCCGTCAGGTATAGGGGCCTGATGCTAACCTGTGCATGTTGAGTGACTTGCATAAATAAACATTTCATTTCCTGTGAGTGGCTGTCGTAGGGGCCCCAGCACACTGGTTTACCCAGGGCCCATGATGCTGTTAAGACGGCCCTGCCCTTGACGGACACAGCAGCCAGGTGTAACTCCCCCTCCTATACGGGTAAGGACGCGTCCTCTTGTGACCTGACGTGTCTTTTTATAGGATGTTCCTCAGTATGAGGAGGAGAGGTCTCCGTTTGTAGATCACTTCACCCTGGTGTACCAACAACTGCTGGAGCAGTTGGCCAACTAAGAGTTGCTTTTCAGTCATGTAGCAGAGAGGAGAAAACAATGGCCAACTAAGAGTTGCTTTTCAGTCATGGAGCAGAGAGGATAAAACAATGGCCAACTAAGAGTTGCTTTTCAGTCATGGAGCAGAGAGGATAAAACAATGGCCAACTAAGAGTTCCTTTTCAGTCATGGAGCAGAGAGGATAAAACAATGGCCAACTAAGAGTTGCTTTTCCATCATGGAGCAGAGAGGATAAAACAATAGTTACCTGGAATAATGAAGTTGTTAAAACGCAAGAACTGCTCTGATTCTCAGAACAGATAAACACCAGAAGATGCTTTGAGTTCTTAGAGCAAACGAAGAGTTGACCTCAATTGCTGGAGCAGTGAAAAATATCATAAAAGCAGTCCAGGGATTTACTAACCCAACACAAGAGTTAACTATGATTTACAAACATGACTAATATATTCTCATAAGTAACTTTATCGCATAAAGCAGTCAACTAAAATATCCCTTTCTCACAGCGGCCATCTTAAACACAGAAAAAAACTCCCACAATCACCCACTTTAACAAGCCATGGACACACAATGATATCTCAAACACCGATGAAAGCTGCTACAATTAAAAACCTTCACAATTTGAGAACGAATACAAAGGCTGATTTCTTTCAATCTATAACACAGTTTTTAAAGACTGGCTGTAAACATTTTCTTTTCAAGAAATCAATTTAAACTATGCTTTCAAAAAGGCATCCCTAAGTGTTGTTGATAATTCTAGAAAATTAAATTTGATGGGAATAATTTTGAAGAATACTGGATGGAGAAAATACAGTCATTAACTCTAGAACGATCCTGAAAAAAGGGGTAACAACTTTTATAAAAAATAAACTAGAATTGTTCCTTAGTAATCATATTAGGGATTCTAAAATAGGTCTCCCTCTTTTGGTAACAAACTTTGGTCAACTTATATCTGTCTTGACCAATGTGAAGTAGAATTTCTACTCTCAGCATGTTGAAGCAGTTGAAGTTTGCACCCAAGTACTTATATGTTTCCGTTTGTTTTATTTTCATATTATCGACTTGTATGTGGCCGGAGTTTACATACCCCCCCCCCCCCCGCAGACACCTGCACGCGCGCGCACACACACACACTCTCTCTCTCTCACACACACTATTAGTCAACACATCATTCCCATTGCACACTGAATCATTTATTCCATAAGCCCTCGGATCTTCTCTTCAGTAAATCCCACAGCTGGTTGTGGCTGATATTACCAGTTATCGGCCGGTTTACTAATCTTCTTTGGCTTTCTGACTTCTGCCCGTGTTTGTCTTCGCCTCTTTGCAACTGCTGTTCGTGTAGTCTGGTCATGATGGCAGATAATAGGCATCATTTGATTTTTGCAAAAAGGGAGGATAGAGCAAGCCTCTGTCTGTGCATGTAATGTAATGTGGCTACATTCTAAAGATAGAAAATCCCGTTCAATTAGTGCCTAGTTCTCGCTACAAGCACTCCACAAAGTTTAACCCCCTCCCCCTCCCCCCCCCCCCACAAAAAAAAGACCCTCGCCAGAATTACACCACTGTCACCCGTAGCTGTGGCTTGCAAGCTGAGTACCTATAATTTTCAATCCAAAAGCGGTGGTGGGGTCTTATTTCACGGTGAAGAAATTACATCAGCACCCGAATTTGCTTCTGCATGAAGGGCAAATTAATGGCCAGGAATTCTTTTATCTCGACGCTTGATTTGGGTTTCTTTTATGCCAACCGTACGCCGTCTTCACAATGAAGTTTAGGTGCAGTGTTTCTTAACATTCTCTGGCGCACGAAGTACACTCCCTCTCTTACACTGCTGTTCGTCCATCTCTTTATGCTAGCCTTCCATTTGTACTGATGTTCCTCATGCTGGGTTGTCTTAAACTTAGACAGACAGACAGACAGACAGACAGACAGACAGACAGACAGACAGACAGACAGACAGACAGTAAAAGAGCTTATTTGCAAATACACACACACAAACTACATTTTCATCATGTGCGCACATACAGGCATACACAAACACACGCACGCACACGAGAAAGAGATAGATAGATAGATAGATAGATAGATAGATAGATAGATAGATAGATAGATAGATAGATAGATAGATAGATAGATAGATAGATAGATAGATAGATAGATAGATAGATAGATAGATAGATAGATAGATAGATAGATAGATAGATAGATAGATAGATAGATAGATAGATAGATAGATAGATAGATAGATAGATAGATAGATAGATAGATAGATAGATAGATAGATAGATAGATAGATAGATAGATAGATAGATAGATAGATAGATAGATAGATAGATAGACAGACAGACAGACAGAGACAGACAGACGGACGGACGGACGGACGGACGGACGGACGGACGGACGGACGGACGGACGGACGGACGGACGGACGGACGGACGGACGGACGGACGGACGGACGGACGGACGGACGGACGGACGGACGGACGGACAGACAGACAGACAGACAGACAGACAGACAGACAGACAGACAGACAGACAGACAGACAGACAGACAGACAGACAGACAGACAGACAGATAGATAGATAGATAGATAGATAGATAGATAGATAGATAGATAGATAGATAGATAGATAGATAGATGGATGGATGGATGGATGGATGGATGGATGGATGGATGGATGGATGGATGGATGGATGGATGGATGGATGGATGGATAGATAGATAGATAGATAGATAGATAGATAGATAGATAGATAGATAGATAGATAGATAGATAGATAGATAGATAGATAGATAGATAGATAGATAGATAGATAGATAGATAGATAGATAGATAGATAGATAGATAGATAGATAGATAGATAGATAGATAGATAGATAGATAGATAGATAGATAGATAGATAGATAGATAGATAGATAGATAGATAGATAGATAGATAGATAGATAGATAGATAGATAGATAGATAGATAGATAGATAGATAGATAGATAGATAGATAGATAGATAGATAGATAGATAGATAGATAGATAGATAGATAGATAGATAGATAGATAGATTAGATAGATAGATAGATAGATAGATAGATAGATAGATAGATAGATAGATAGATAGATAGATAGATAGATAGATAGATAGATAAAGAGAGAAAGAGATAAAACGAGAGAGAGAGAGAGAGAGAGAGAGAGAGAGAGAGAGAGAGAAAGAGAAAGAGAGAAAACCAAGTGCTATAAAGTCGACCCTCTCGTTATTAAACTAAACACTCACTAGCAAAGAGCGGGATCATTTTATATGGCCAAAACATTTGAATTGTCTGACTTGTTTCTCAATAAGTGATGTTTTCTTCAGTTCTGACGTTTGTCATATCTTCGTGTTTGCTTTATTTTTACTTCCTTGCAGTTAATCATCAATAAAATCAAACTTTCAACAGTTTCAAATTTAAATGGAATTGCTGGGGGACAGGTGGTAGAGATGGGTGTGGGATGAGTGTGTTTGCAAATACACGCGAACCACCTTGTGCTCGGCATTTTCCTCACAGATAGACACACACAGACACACACACAGACCTCAAATTATAAATGGAATGGGTGACAAAACAACAGAAAATAAGAAGGAAAAACAGATAAATGAGGACAGTTGCACGAGTACTCATTCTGTTTAAAGCCATGCACAGCAACTTTTTCGGTGTTAAAAGTTGTCGAGAGTTAATTATTAATTAAGGTTAATTATTTCTCAATTCTCCGGTAGCGCCTCAGGTTAACAGCGAGAAGATATTGTTATCTAATCAATTAAAGAAGAGTTTGTTTTTAGTCCTACCCTAACAGAAGAAGCACACGATTTAGAAGAAAAAAAGAAGAAAGAAGAAAAAAAAATAAGAAGAAAGAAAGAAGAAAAAAGAATAACAATAATAATGAAAAGAAGAAGAAGAAAAGAAGAAGAAGAAAAAGAAGAAGAAAAAAAAAGAAGAAGAAGAAGAAGAAGAAGAAGAAGAAGAAGAAGAAGAAGAAGAAGAAGAAGAAGAAGAAGAAGAAGAAGAAGAAGAAGAAGAAGAAGAAGAAAAAGAAGAAGAAGAAGAAGAAGAAGAAGAAGAAGAAGAAGAAGAAGAAGAAGAAAAGAAGAAGAAGAAGAAGAAGAAGAAGAAGAAGAAGAAGAAGAAGAAGAAGAAGAAGAAGAAGAAGAAGAAGAAGAAGAAGAAGAAGAAGAAGAAGAAGAAGAAAAAGAACCCAGTATCCCACAACTAGCCTGACCCTGACCTTAGGGTAACTGACAAACACTAACCTGTCGATGTAGGTATATCACAGATCCCAGCAGCCTCCAGGTACCTCCCTGTCTGTCAACATGAAGCATACGTAATATCTGCAGGAAGCGGACGCCCCTGTGTAGAGAAGAAGGACGAGAAAACCTGTCTGTAACAACAATATCCAACCTAGTGATTTGGTGGGATTCGGTCTGTGAGCCAGTGCCACCACCTCACAGAGTTGCTATCTGAAGGACTGACACCCCGAGAATGCAGAATCTCAGTTTGGATGGCAAACAAACAGGGAAACCTCAGATTCCCTGTTCAATCTCAAAATAAGTTTTAACGGCCACACCAGCCTGGTGCAGCTTGCAGTCATGTGAGGGTGAAGATTTTACTATATAAATTGCAGCTGTTGTTAAGCCAATATCTTCACCTCAGTGTTGAAGTCGAACAACTCGATTTCATTGCACCTGGTTTTCCCATGTAGCACAGTCTGCCTCCACAGAAGAACTAGCAGTCTACTGAACGTGTCACACATGGCATGAAACCCCAAGCTCTAGAGACGAATCTTCGTTAAAATACACACTCCTTAACTGTCTGTCTGTCTGGCTGGCTGGCTGGCTGTCTGTATGTGTGTGTGTGTGTATGTAAGTATGTGTGTATGTATGTATGTATGTATGTATGTATGTATGTATGTATGTATGTATGTATGTATGTATGTATGTATGTATGTATGTATGTATGTATGTATGTATGTATGTATGTATGTATGTATGTATGTATGTATGTATGTATGTATGTATGTATGTATGTATGTATGTATGTATGTATGTATGTATGTATGTATGTATGTATGTATGTATGTATGTTTGTATGTATGTATGTATGTGTGTGTGTGTGTGTGTGTGTGTGTGTGTGTGTGTATGTATGTATGTATGTATATGAAATGATTATCAAACATAAATCACGTCATGGATTTTCTTGTCCATTGCCCACTTTTGTCAAAAGAGGTCATTTTTAAAAACAAATCCCAAGAAAACAACGGAGACAAAAAGGGGAAATTGAATTCCGTTTTGAAAAGGAGGTCTGAATGCGAATGAGATCAAGAGAAACAAAAAGTTATGTAAAGCTCTTTTCTGACTTATGTCTTTCTCCCATTTTTTCTTTCCTTATCAAGCATGATAAAAGCCATTATCGACCGATTGAGAGCAAACTGGATCCCTGTTTGATGATTACTGGCAAAATGTCGTTTCTAGATTAGCCAGTCAGTGTCCTGCAACAACGCATTCCTATGGACGAAATTCATCATCATTAACAGGTGCCTTGCCGACTGGCGTGGGCGATCATGCTTCTCCACAATCTGCGATCTCCTGCAGCATGTATCAGTTCGTGTGCCGACACACCTCCATGCCATGCAACAAGACTGTCAAGCATCTTTTCTCGTTGTCTTCCTCTATCACTGCCTCTTTCAAAACCTCTTGGCTGCTCTTTTTTGGCTGTCCAAGGTATTCTAAGCATTTTTCTGTAAAACCACATCTCTAAGGCCTCAATAAATTGTTTGACCTGCCTACCGATTGTCCAGGATTCACAGCCATATGTTAAAACTGGATGTATATAGCAAGCAAGCATTCTTTTTCTAACTCCCAATGACAAGGATATATTGCACAAGATGTTTTTCATTTTAAAAAATGCAGTTTTTGCCTGTCATATTCTGTTTCTTATCTCTGTTATGCATCTTCCATTCTGATGTTATCCATGTGCCCAGATACTTACATTTCTGTACTTGTCCTAAAATAACACCATCGACTTTTATTACAAATTTAGGAATAATTCGTTTGTTTGATACCACAATTACTTGTGTCTTTCCATTATTCAAACTGAGGCCCATTCTTCCACTTTCTAACACCACAATGTCTATCATTTCCTGTAGTTCTTTCTGACTTGTTGCTATCAAGACTGTGTCATCAGCATAACGTAAATTGTTTATATTGTGCCCACCAACCACAATTCCGGGCAAACCAATTAAAGCTCTCATTATATATTCACTGTATAATGAAAACAAATCAGGTGATAGTACACATCCTTGTCGCACGCTCCTCTTTATGCTTTGAAATGTACCTAAAAAGTTGTTAATTCTTATAGCTGCTGTTTGCTGCCAATACATATTCTTTATTATTCGTAGATATTTCCCATCAATGTTTAATTTTTCTAACAGTTTGACTACTTCGTCATGCTTCACACAGTCAAACGCTTTTGTATAGTCTATGAAGCATAAGTACAAATCAGTCTTTACTTCTATAGCTCTTTCTGACAATATCCTTAGGATGTATATGGCATTGTTTGTACCTTTTCCTTTTACAAATTCACATTGTTCATCGCTGATTTCTGGTTTAATTTTATTTTTTATTCTTCTCATAATTATTCTCAGTAAAATATTAGTCATGTGACTCATAAGACTTATTGTGCGATGGTCATCACATTTTATAGTGCCTGGTTTCTTTGGCAGAGCTATAAAAATGGATTTTAAAAGGTCATTTGGAATATACCCACTATTATAAATATCGTTTAAAAGTTTAGTTATTATTTTAATCCCAAAATCTCACAGTGCTTCGATTTCTTCCAGTGAGAAGACTTATGGAAGATGCATAACTGAGATAAAAAAACAGAATAGGTCAGGCAGAAACTGCATTTTTAAAAATGAAAAACCTCTTGTGCAATATATCCTGGTCATCGGAAGTTAGCCCGGGTGCTTTTCCTTTCTTCATTTGATGTATTGCATCCACAACTTTTGCAGTCATTATTGGTGGACCTTCATTGTTGGTCTGCAGTTCTACATCTGGTCTATTATCATCATACAATTCCCTTATATACTCTGTCCATCTGTTAATTATATTACTATGTCCCATTAATAAGTCACCATCTTTTGATTTCAAACATCCAGTGCTGTTTCGTGTCATCTTTCCTGTTAACATATTTATCTGTTGGTACATGGAAGGTGAGTCTTTCCTGTGATTTTCCCTAATCTCTGTATTTGACGAAATTACCAGTGCCAAATTTATCGATAAACGATCGATTGGTTTGTCCCTTCCAGGTTGCTCTACCTAAAAGTATAGCGTACCATCAAGACATTTAAAAATCCCAGTATGGAGGACAGACAAACAAGGCAGATCCCAGACACCTTGTTCAACACCTAAAGAAGTTATAGTTAGGTCAACCGTAACACCAGCCAGGCCTAACTTGTAGTCGCATACGAGTAAAAACGTACCAATAGATGTTGTGCATCTTCTGATAGCTGAGTTGAGCTGAGAAGCGACATACACCACTCAGCACATACCGACAAGTCCTCTCTCCCCGTCTCCAAAAATACTGGAGAGTTGCGATTCCGGCCGTACCAGTTGCATACTGAATGTATTTCTATCTTGCCATGCCTCAGAATGTATGCGCCAGATCTCCTGGTTACCTTCCGCTGCTCCATTCTCTTCACACCGTGATATCTATTTGTGCTTTCGCGCGTGTGCGTGCATTAGTACCATTTATCCACCTGCCCCTCCAGGCTGCTACCTCAACAGTCTGACACCCTGAGATCAGAAGCATTAAATCTGCACGGCACGTACAGGACTTGAAAATTTGACACCGTAAGACTAAAAAAGTCTTAGTGCTGGCAGCAGACCAAAAAAGCAAGCCCAGACCTCGTTCAGGCTATCCTCCGAATAACAGGCACATATTTTGGCCGCCGCCGCAAAAGCACCAGTCTTGTGTCAATTTCGCACTTCCGGCAAGCTAATTTGAGAACTTCTAGCGAGTACAGCCACCGCCGAGAGTATCCCTCACGCCGCTCATGCGGCGTGGATTGGGGCTAAACTAGTTAGCTGGGACTTACGAGCAGCAGCTCCCGGATCTCCTGCAGCTTTGCTCGTGAGTCCCAGCCATCTAATTTAGCCCCTATCCACGCCGCGTCAGGTTACTCTCGGCGATGGCGGTAGTCGCCGGAAGTTCGCAAATAAAGTCGCAGGAAGTGCCCAAGTGACACGTGACTGAGGCCCTGTTTTTGGCCGCCATAATATGTGCTCGTTATTCGGAGGATAGCCCTCGTTCAAATTCCAAGAAGTTATAGTTAGGGCACCAGCTACCGCCACACCAGCCCAGTGTAACATGCAACCCTGTGCGGGTGAGGATGTGATTTTGCTCTGTTCTTTATCTTCTAATAGACCACGCCATGAAGCGTTAGTGGCTGACTATAGCCTCTCGCCTCATACGGTTTGAGTTCCATGCTATGATACCAAACCATCCAACAAACCCACCCATACTGAACTACAGATAACTACGTAGCCATATTGTGATGCCCCAATATAATAGCGGTTATAAGGTTGATTGGGTTTTTCCAGATTTGTACCTGTTTGATCCTCATCCTTGACATGGTAATTATAGATAGTCATCTTGTGAGAGGGAGGGGCGGTAGAGAGGAAGGGAAGTCTTCTCTTGGTCTTCCTTTGCCTCTCTAGTTGTCCAGCTAGAATCGAAGACACACATCAACTATAGAATTTTGTGCCCTGGAGTGACATAACAGTCAGTGAGCTTGATTGATAAGACAATGGTCCAGGTTCAGTCCCCAGCGGAGAAAACATTTTCTTCACCAGTCCAGCTCCTTAGTAAACGTATCATTCATCATCATCATCGTCGTCATCACTGTCCTGTTGTGACATTAATTATCACATAAAGCTCACGGTTCCTTCATCCATTCTATTCGATATCGTGGTTGGAATTCAGCTTCTCTCCTTAACGCTCGCCACAGGCTTTCTCTTGGACATCCTCCGTTCCTCGATCCATCTGTTTCACACACACACACACAAACTGTTTTCAGCACTTTTGGCGGATTAAAATATTCCAAATTTTAAAACTATAAATGATGGTCCAAAGGACGTTCTGTGGACGTGGAAAGCTCGTTCTCTTACGAGATACGCCGGACTAAAATAGAAGGGGCAAGAAAAAAAAAAAAAAAGAGGAAGCACCAAGACGGAAAACGCTGGAGGAACTCACACGGACACAAAAAAGGATCGAGCGGACTGATTTGGAGAGCCCACAGACAGTGCAAATATCAGGACTTTATCCACGAAAGTGGTGCAAAAAAAAAAACCAGACCATAATTATAACCGGAGACTGTTAGCAGCTTCATGCTAGCTAGCAGCAGGTTGAACATGGTCGCAATTTTTCGTTCTTTAAAGAAACAGGAGGCTCTGTGGCTAAGTCGACAGTGGTATCAGGGGGCCGACCGTCCAGTGAGAAATGGCAAACTACTGGACGTAAATTTGCCTAGAAAAACCACACAACAGCATGGGGCTGTTGGGGTTGATTCTGCAACGTCCTGTAAAGGATACGCAACTAACCTTTTGTCGGCTCTGTGGCTAAGTCGATGCGAACGCTTCGTAATGCCGGGATGCCGGGTTCGATCCCAGCTGCGGGCTATGCGCCTTGCGTTGGTTTTGACAGTGGTATCAAGAAAGCCAACCGTCCAGACAGAAATGGCAAAATACTGGACGTAAATTTGCCTAGAAAAACCACACAACAGCCAGGGGCTGTTGGGTTTGGTTCTGCGACGTCCTGTAAAGGATACGCAAATAACCAAAGAAACAGGAACAGGAAAATGCTGGTCTGGTGATTCTCTGCTCGTTTCTGTTTATGATGTGTTTTATTATAAGACAATTCTCTTACTTGTCCCCCCCCCCCCCCTATGAAATCATTCCATTTTATCTTTAGAGTTTTCCTCAGGTATTTGTTTTCGAATGCATTTAACTTTCGTTTCGCGTCTTCAGCGCTTCTGCAACTTTCACTGTCATATGTTAAAACCGAAATAACATTAGAGATGCAAATTCGTAACTTGGTTCTAAAACTAAACAAGTTAGAGTTCCATATTTGTAGAAGCTTAATAAAAATAAGGACAAGAGAGGTTACAGAGATAGCTTAAACAGCTTGGCAACAAATGTCTGAAAAACAAAATGAATGAACATTGCGGCTAAAAAGCCTTCATCAGCATTGACACAAACTAACAACTGATACAATTAAAATCAGGAATATTTAAGATCACTAAGTTTTACGGTCAGGTCTGTCACGAAATCACTCTCCATGTTTGAACAATAAAAGCTCTGCAATAACGTGTCGTCTCAGGAAAAAGATATTGGGTATAAAGTGCCCTAGAGCTGTGGGATTACTAGGCGGAGAGAGAGAGAGAGAGAGAGAGAGAGAGAGAGAGAGAGAGAGAGAGAGAGAGAGAGAGAGAGAGAGAAGAGAGAGAGAGAGAGAGAGAGAGGACAATTGTCAAGCAACTTTAACTGCAATGTCCAAATTTAATGGTCAAGATGTCCAATGCGTCTGTGGCTTAGGCGTTGCGACTCCGACTCGTAATTCCAACGTCCCGCGATCGAAACCCACTGCTGGCTGCGTGGATTTTTATCATGGTATGGGGCATCGCAGGTCGACCCAGCCTAAAATGGGTACCAGGATGACTGTCCTGGGGAAGTAAAGACGGCCGGCGTAATGTTGACCACATTACCCACCTAGTGCCGACGGTCTGTAAAAAATATTTGCGCTCTTAACATATACCCGATACGCCTAGAGACGTAAAAAGGTATCTTTACTTTACTTTACTTATATCCGTGTCCAAAACCTCGATGACCTTAAGAATTAAAATGGAATTTTCTCAAACAAATAAGTTATCTCCCTTACCGGATGGCAGAAGTGGCGAAGACTTGTCCTTCAGAACCAATAGTGAACACACAGATGGAAGCAACAACAACAATTAAATCTGAGGACAGAACAATTAGAATAATTATAATAGACAATAAAAACAAATATTAACATAAGAAGGGGGAGACTAATCAGCCGTATCATCACAACTGGGGACTTTTCAGTCTGGCGTGGGAGATTCCCCCCCACCACCACTCATACCACGAGTTTCAACAGAATGTAGTAATTTATATTGAGAGATTTAAAAAACTTCATGATAAAAGAGTATCGATAACCTGTCTTTCTGTCTGTTCGTCCGCCTGTTCTGTTTATCCCACTACTTGCCAATTTGTCTGTCCGTCCAGCCGTCCACTCATCCATCAATCCATCATTTTTGCTTTCTATCAATCCAACCATCCATCCACCCGTCAGTATGAAGATATGCATATCTATCACCGCGACATCACCGAGTTGAGGCTAGTGTCTATGATTTTTTTTTCTTTTTGTGCTACTTGTAGATAAAGGCTTAGGTTGAAACTTTCGACTGTTTCTGGGCGCCCCCCCCTTTTTTTCCAACCCCCTTTTCACTCCATCCCTGTTGAGCTTATTAGTCATTACTGGTGTTCGGTGAATTCAATTACATCAGCTGAGTTGCATTTCCTCCTCTTGTCTCGTACTTACCGCTGTCTGTCTGTTAGTCTGTCAACACATCAAACAATCAATCTATGCATCGGTATTGCAACAGTCTTCTCAATGCTCCGTCTACTAAGGATCAAATGGCTGGGTCACACATGGAGAAGGGAGGATGGCAGAGTCCTTAAGAACATCCTTCTGTGGTGGATTACAGAAGGGTAGAAGATGTCAAAGCCGACTTTTACTACTAAACAAAGAGGTGTACAATAATACAGGTATTGATGTAGATTCGTGGGAATAAAATGCCACGGATCGTGTTGAGTGGGTGTGGCAAATCAGGAAAAAATGAAAATAAAGCAGGAAATAATTGCAGAAAGAATTACAGCTAAATGTCTAGAGAAGAAACACTAAATACAAACGTTGACAACAACAGTCCCGAAATCCAATGCTATAATTGTGGAAGACTTCTTAACGCGGGCGGGTCTTACTAGTCACATTCGCCAACGGCATGGACTTAAGTCCCATGCCTCCTAATTGCACAATATAACACTGTCGTCTGGAAATACGGAAAGGTGCCAGCAACAGCATCTATCTAATCACCGGGACTGCAAATACAGATTTCACATTTATCTCTACAAAACTGAAACAAAAACAAAATCTACGTCAAAACAGGGAAAACCCAACAATTTCTGATGCGTGTATCGACTAAACTTCGACTTACCGATGATGGAAATGGGCTTTCTGGCAAACCGTATTCTGCCTCTAATCCCCATGTACTTGCTGCGACATCCCGCCGACCAGAGGCGGATAGCATACTCAAGGCCAAAGAAACAAACTAAAAATATTTCCTGGCCAGAATAATAATAATAATAAAAAGGTAAAATTAACCGAGATTATACAACTACATAAAATTAGGTATTCAACACCGCGCTTGTTCACATACATTGTTTCCGGTGTGTGTTCCGAGGCCCCATCTGGGGATCGGGGTTGGGGGGGGGGGGAGGGGGATAGACCCACTATATCCCGAACAAGCATGTTGTAAAAGATTACTAAATAGGGATTTTCTCTCCGAAATCGGAAAGCATCTGCCTGAGAAAATCTCATTTCGACAATGAAATCAAGAACTGACCGTTGATTGAGCTACAGCAAACTACTGAAAGTAAAATATCCTAATTAAACTACAAACACCCAGAAAATACTGGTTTGCGAACGTGCTCCAAAAGATTCGCAACTAATTTTTGTGACTTATGGCATTAGCCATGCAGCTTGAAATCCCCCGGCTCACAACCAACCTTACTTACACTGCGGTAAAAGTGGTAATTAATGACAGTAAAGACAGTCTATCTCAACGCAAGGCGGAAGACAGGGAAACGTGTAATGTCATGATCGTTAAATTAGGCGGTAATGAGAATGGACTATAAAGGTAGTGGTAGTAAACAAACTGTCACAGGTCACGAAAATGTGGCTTAATTAATCTGTTCCACTTGTTTTTCGATACCACGATCTTTATAGTCCATTTTTAAGGTGAGCATAATATCTTGAGTTGAAAACGAGACATCCAATTAAAATTTTGAGCTAGAAATTGGACAGCGCCTTAATATTTTGAGCTGAAAATGGGACTTCCTAATAAAATAACCCCCCCCCCCCCCCAGCCCCACTAATTCTATAATTTATTATTATTATTATCATTTTTAATCATCAAGGAACAATTACATTTTAAGAACATGATAATATTCTTCCGGTCAAGATGGCGAGATAATGGTTTGGTCATGTAACAAGATTGGCAGCAGACAGCGCACCACAGATACAGCGGTAACAGAGCCAGAGGTCGACTGCGAAGATATGGACCGCAGAAATATCAGAAACACTGAAAAGTACTTTATACGAAGCGAACAGAAGGGCCCGTTCTAGAGATATTTTCCTGTCCTGACGTCGCGAGGCATTCCAGAAGTAGAGGAAGAAGAAGAGGAAGAAAAATATAATATATAGGTCTTTAAATGGTATAAGCCAAACTAATGAATTAAAATGAAAACTTTTTTCTCTAGTTGGATTGCATGCCTCGCTTTTATTGGTGTCACCAGTATAGTGTATAATCTGTATATTTTCCCTTTCTGTTTGTATACGTGTATATTGTCAAGTTTAACCCTTTCTTTTGTTGGATTGCATGCCTTGTTCTTTTTGGTTCCACTCAGATACTATATATAATACAGTATCTATTTTCCCTTTCAGTTTGTATATGTATATACTGTCCTGTTAAAAATTTTCTTTTCTAGTTAGGCAGCACGCCTTGTTTTTATTGGTTGTACCAATGCAAGGTCACGGATAATGAGCTTACTTTTGATCTTTTCTCCATGCTTTGCCGGCGTGGCGGGGAATAATAGGCATATAGATTGGCTGGATCTACACCGCTGGGTGCTAAATTGATACATGACATGGCAAATGTAGTCAGAGTCATTTAGGAACAAGTAACGAAGTCAGAACAGAAACTAGATTATTATGGGCTGGTAAGAATGATGCACTTGGGTGTGACCAGAGGGTTCGACCGGCCCACTACGCTCAGAAGAAAGGCAAGACGGACATGCAACCAGACTACGCCGGCACCACTAGTATTAGAACTGCGCTGGCTGCTGAGGTTGGGGGCGGAGAGCGTACGGGAATGCCCTGAGTGCTGTGACGTAGATTCTCAACTAGTTGCACCACTGTGGTGTACAGATCTATATATTTTCTTTTTCCGATTAAATTACATGCCAGTACAAATTGATCTGTATTACAGTTTTTGGTACTTTTGTAATATCCGACCACTAACAGGAGAAATCCACAGGTCACGGGACAGTCTAATATTTCAGGGAGTGGTAGATGAAGCGTATAGTTTAGTATTTATAGTTTTATTATAATTTTCCATACATCACAAATCCATATTTAAATATTATCACCACCTAGCGTTAAATTGCTTGACTTTTTAAAATGCTCCTATTCTAAAACTTTAAAATCTAACATTGTCAACATAATTAACTTTCTATTTTCGAGCCTATTCCTAGATAGTTAGAAAAACATGACAAATGATTTGGAGTACCCACTGGGCGACCGGGACATAAAAACAAAAACACAGCAGGGGTATCGCGATGAACACGGGACGTGTGGTCACCCTAATGATTTTCATTATGATACAATTTAAGGATCATGACATCCATAAATACAACTGAACACTGCAACTAGTCATCGTGACCACCTGTTGTGTGCTAAATGAGCCAGCACACTACCAAGTGTCTTGCAGGTACTCTTCCGCTTCCTCTCTTAGAAATAGAACTCGACGACGATGACACCGTCATACATGTTTATTTACCAGGATACATGACACAAATGCAGAGACGTAGTTATTGATCACAGCTGACATTCGCACATCGTCCATTTGTCCTCATAGCTCTCTATCTTTCAATTTGTAGAGGTCTCTCCTTGACTACTACAGCTCCAAGAACTACAGCGTCCCACACTCTGGACGCGTCGTACAGCTGAACAGGACGACTTCTCCCATTCACTGGACCTTGATATTATTTCAGCATACAACACAGCTGACTGGAGACGGACCTCTCTTGCCGTACTCCGAAACCAGGTACTACTGGCCTGCCGTCCCCTGGACTTACTTTGCCAGCGGGAACATATCTTCTTCAGTACCGCAACCTCGACACTCACTCAGACCTAAATGCCTGATAGTCGTACGGTATTCTAGTCTGTTAGACTTGCGAGAGATATCACGGACCCTGACGTGGTCTCTGACTCTCGCTTTCTCTCTCTCTTCTCGCTTCTCTCTTGACTGCTTCTCGATTCCCCTCCGAGTGGCTACTCAGCCCTCCAATTTATCCCCCTCAACTCCGTGTAGGTGGATGATGTCTACACGAGAGGCACGCTGGTATGGGCGTTCTCGTGAATCATGATCCTGTGGGTGTTCTCGGGACTCACGCTCATGTGGGTGGCTGATGTTACCTGAAAATCACACTGTCACTTAATTCACACTTTCTCTGTTTATCTCGTTATCCCTGCTTTCAGCCCTCCCCACACAGAAACCCACGCGTCCACTTTCTCTCGTGTGTGCACGCCTTGTTCATGAATAGACGTTTTCACTTCTCTCCTCTTAATACTCAGACCATGTTGACACTCTTCCCCCGTGAACTTACAGACAGTACTGACCTCCCACTGTCCCTTCGAGCAATATCACACTTTACCCCAAATCAGCGCGCAACACCACCGTTACTGTCATCATTATTGTCATTATCACCATCAGCACATCATTATCATCATAATTATCACCACCATCTTCATCGTTATACCACCTTCATCATCGTTATACCACCATCATCATCGTTATACCACCATCATCATCGTTATACAACCATCATCCCCACCACCATCATCATCATCACCACCATCATCACCCCCACCATCTTTATCAACGTCATCATCACCATTATCACATCATCGTCATCATCACCATCATTACATCTTTATCATCATCATAATTATCACTACCATCATCATCGTTATAACCACCATCAACATCATCGTCATCATCATCACCACCACTATCATTACCACCACCACCATAATCATCACCGCCACCACAATCATTACCATCAATATAATCGTCATCATCACCATTATCAAATTATCACATCCTCATCACCATTATCACATCATCATCATCATCATCACCATCATTACATCTTCATCATCCTCATAATTATCACTACCATCATCATCGTTATAGCCACCATCAACATCATCGTCATCATCATCACCACCACTATCATTACCACCACCACCATAATCAGCACCGCCACCACAATCATCACCATCATCAACACAACCACCATCAATATCATCGTCATCATCACCATTATCACATTATCACATCCTCATCACCATTATCACATCATAATCATCACCATCATCATTATCATCATCAGCATAACCACTGTCATCTTCACCACCATTGTCACATCATCATATCATCGTCATTATCATCATCATCGTCATCATCACCACCATTGTTACACCATCACATTATCGTCATTATCATCACCACCACCATCATCATCACCATGACCACATCACCACCATCCTCTTTGTCATCATTATCACATCATCATCATCATCATCATTATCATCATCATCATCACCACCACCATCATCATCAACATCGTCACCACTACCGTCGTCATCCTAATACCCAGGTTAATTTTTATGACTGCCCGAGGAATTCTAAAGATTATTCTATACATTCACATCTCTGAGGCCTCAAGAAATTGTTGAGCTTGTTGTCCCTGTCATCAACATTCGTTTTAGAGGCTTTCTCGGACGTCCTGGTTTCTTCAGTTAATTTATTTCTACATGCATTCCCATGTGGGCATGAATGCGTCTGTGTATATATAGATGTATGTGTGTGTATGCAAACATGTACATGCATTCCCATGAATGCTACGTATATATATATATATATATATATATATATATATATATATATATATATATATATATATGTGTGTGTGTGTGTGTGTGTGTGTGTGTGCGTGCATGTGTTGGTCTGTATAGTGCATACCAGCCCCCTTCCTGGAAACCCTCACTAGATACTAGAGCACCAGTCCAAGAAACTAACTAGTTTTCTTTGATAACATAACCGGCTATAGGAAACCAGACCACAATAATAAGAAGAGCTACACAGCAGAGCATGAACAGCATGGGTCATACGATCATCAGTAGAAAGGTCCCTCGTCAACAATTGTTTCGGCCCAATAACCCCCTAGACAGTCTCAGAGGGTTGGCCTACCTGATTCTTGACGCCAGGCCTCGGACATCCCCTGCTGCACTTTATCAGACTTATCCGGACAAGACGAAATAGTGACTTTGTAACAGATATAATGAGGTTTGGTGTTATATATTGTCGCTGAGGTAGCAAATTAGCTTACGGTTGGTTCTTAGGACAGACGGTAGACTTTGGCAATTGGCAGAGAGACGCTGCCAGACTTTAATCGGATACTTGGCTTTTTTTAAGGATGAAAAGATTTTTTCCACTAGGGGCTTGGACCAGTCTACCGACGTCTATCCTCCACGACGTTCCATTACGTCCACACTCGGCGCGAGGTCCTTCCTGCTGCATCGCCTAATTGTTTTAGTGCCTGTTTCCGTTGCTCTGCTAGCAAGTAGAGGTGCTTTAGCACATTGTATGTGGAGGTGGAGATACGCCCTCTTGAGTGTACCCCGATGGCGAAGAGTTTTACTGTGTACGCCTCATCTCTCATCAGACCGGCCACCAATTCACAGTCCTTTTCGAGCTTGTACAAGTGATTTTTTTTCCCATCTGCGACTCGTACGGCACGCTAAGCTCTATCAAGATAAGCTGGCGTTTTTCCGCAGAGTGCAGAACCATGTTTGGTCTCAAGCCGGTCTTTCGGGTTGATTCTGGGTTCTTTTCGGAACCAGGGAGGTCGACCGCCAGTAACCAGTCCCTCTGACAGTCAAGTATTGATGGAGCATATTGTTGACTTTACCTTGAGGATTCCGCCCAGCCTTGAGGAAGCGCATAGGGGGTGGGGCGACTGTAGGACTGGACCTCGTGCTGATCCTTATCGCCGTCTGTAGCTTAGGAACTGCAAACGTGGTTTGCAATTCCAAGCAACCCCGTTAGATTCCACTGCATAAATACTGGCTTTATGTTCATTTAGACAATTGAACTGATAATCACCTGTTCAGCGAGCAATGGCAAACTAATGAAGTAAAATTGCCTAGTAAAACTACAAGTTGCCAATAAATACCAGGGTTGGCTTGCAACGCTCTCCAAAGATAAGCAACCAATGTTTAAGACTTTGATAATTTGTGCAAAGCTTGACTAGGATCGGAAACCTTTCCCTGCATACTCACCATCCAAAACAAGGTTTCCATAGCAAAATCGGTGTACTGGTCAATGGTGGACAGCACGCTGAATATAAGGCAGACAAGTACCATCATGAAACTGGGGACAGAATAGAAATGATGAAACAACATAAACACGTTAGCTACGATCTTTTATATGTAAATGTGCTAAAACAAACATGAAGAATAACTAACCAGCTTCACTTATCACAATCATTAAGGTCATATGAATGTTGCGATTAGAAAGCTTTCTTCAGCATATGACTCAACCAACACTTTCATAGCGATATAACATCATCATCATCATCGTCGTCCTGTTAGACTAAGTGTCGTTTTGTCACCAGTCGCTGTTGACCGTCTGAGCAGCTGCATCCGCCATTGATGATCAGATGCAAAGTACTTTAGGGTTGGGTGCCTTGGTTTAAGTTTAAACAACGGATCAACATCACGGCACAAGGGTAGTAACCCATAAGTGTTCCGTTCTACTTCTAACTCAAGCCTGAGTCCGATAAATCTCAGCGCAGTGCACGAACTCCGTAGCACCGGCGAGGACGCTGAAATACTTTGTGTAGATTTTTAACTCTACATTTTGCCTGGACAGCGCCGTTAGCTTACTCTTTTCGACTTCTAACTGCCAAGGAATTTTTTACGTGCGCAACAATACATACGGGCGTCCGATCTTAGTGCTCAGAGACCAGGGAAAATTACAAAAAGAACATGTAA